TCCTGTTCAAAAGTTTATTCAAATTACTTATTCTCTCCCTTTCTTTAGCATGGATAGAAGTGCCTCGAGGGGGTTTGTGATTACTTTTCAAGTCTTTTCTGCCTTCTTCTTCGTAAGTGATATGAGTTGCTGTAATTGTGTACTTATTCTTACAGTAACTTTTGCTGATCAACTAATGGTAATTTCTGCTCCCCTTCAGCTGGTCCTACTTTTGGGAGCAGTGGGTGGCATTGTGTTGAAAACATCAACAAGCGCACTACGTTCTACAGTTAAGGCGGCGATGAGTGGATATGACGGGGACGCTGATGATGCACTCCAATTTGCATCTTTTCTGTTAGGAATAGTTGGTGGGTGATAAAATAAGCCATCAATTTGACCTCCACCTCCTACATTCCTTGTAAAACGGTATTCACGGTTCAATTTGTTTCAGATGCAACTGCTATATACACTATTGTGGTGGGAGCGGTTCTCGCGCTGTTTTCTCTGGCCGGTCTCATTGCCTCCTTTTGCGCGGGGAGCACAATGTTGAAAGTGGTAAGTCGGCTTATAGTATGTAAATGAGGAACTATGGACCCTTCTCCATGCTGACAACTGTTCTTTGACGCTATCTACCAGTATGCTGGCATCGTGACTGTCCTTCTTGCTGCACAAATCATCGTTATTGCTGTGATTTTCGCCAAACCGACGGAATTCACGGTTTCCCTCACTAACACAACACAAGATCTTCTCGAGTTGTATGGAAGTAAAGGAGAAGAAGGAGCTCGAGCAACTGCTATTTGGAGAGTGCTAATGGAGGTGTGTGACTAAACTAGTTAATTTGTCTCGATGCTCTAAAATGACTCCAAACAGGTTTTATGCTTTATGTTTGCCTTTCTTAACAGACCGAGCCTCGGTGCTGTGGCATGGATGGCTACAACGACTTTGGTGAGTTGAAGACAAGCATGCATCTAATATAATGTGGCAATGTATGAATGCACACCTTTTGGACCCTTATAGAAAAACTGAACAAAACTTTGCCTGCCTCATGTTGCAAAGCCAATTCTGCGACTTGCGAAACTACGCAAGCAAAAAAAGACAACGTAGAAGGATGCAGAAGTAAAGTTGAAAAAATTGCTTCCCTCAGGTCCACGATTTTATTATATACTTCCATCGGGATGATTATCATGCAGGTGAGTCCCGGGACCTTCCTTTGTCCCAATAT